GGGAAGGGGTCCCTGCAATGAGGGGGAATTAGTTCTTGGGGGGCTGACCAGGTCTGCTCTGAGTCCAGATGGGGAGGGACAGCTCCAGCCCTTCCCCCCACCCCACCCCAGGGTGACCCAGAACTGGCCAGAGCTCCCATGTCGGATCTGATCTCCCAGATGCTCAGATTCCGGGGTCAAGACCTGGGGTCGCCCTGAGAGATAGGGGCAAAGGACACTGGAGCCCAAAGGGAGGTTACTTGAGGGACAGAGGGGACATTGGAGCTGAGGGCACAGGGGGATGGAACCAGAGCTGGGGTGACTGAGGAGGGCAGGAAGGCTGAGGTTACCAAGGGAGGAGGCAGCGACAGCCATTGGGACAAGCCATCGGGATGTGCGTAGGAGGGCTGTCAGAGGACTGTGAGGGGCTCACCTGGGGGGGTTCCCGAGGCCTGGCCATCTCGCGGGGCTCCACGATGTAGGTGAAGTTCCCGTCCGAGAAGACCCCACTGCGGAGAGAGAGGTGCAGCTCCCCACCATGCATCCCCAGGCCGGCGCTGGAGGCTCTTCCCGCCGCCCAGCCCCTCCCCATACTCACTGCAGCCCCTGGCAGGTGGAGAGGGCGGCAAAGGAGTGGGGGTTCCCGCGGAGCTTCCCCTGGTAGTAGCAGTGGTCTCCGGCCCCCTGGAGGAGCAGGAGGTGAGCAGACATGCCCCCTGCCCTGGCAGGAGAGGTCAGGGCCACCAAAGCTGCTCGGTGCGCAGGTGGCTGCGGTTCCTGGGGGTCCTGCTTCCCCTCCGGGTGTGCTCCTAATTGGCTGTTTCGCCTGGACAAGTTCCTAGCCCTCTCCTTTCCCAGTTCCTAGCCTCCTTCACCTCACCTACAAGATGAGGAAGCTGGACTACATCAGTGGCTCTCAACCATCTGGTGCACGGTTCACAGATTCCTCCAAGAAGAGCTAGTGCTCGTGTGCCAGGCACTGTTCTGAGCACTTACCACAGATGAGCTCACTTTGATCAGATGAAAGCTGTGGACCCCCCACCCCGCCCTCCAGCGCACACACACGCAACTGCACACACAGTGCGTTCTCGGACACCACTGCCTCCGTGGACCCCCTCTGGACACGGTCTGTGGCTGAGGAACCATGAGCAGCCTGTGTCCACTTGGCTGGGGCTCTTGGGTCAGAGGGGCCAGCACCCCCTCCCTGCTCCTGCAGAATTGTGCTCCAGTTACTGAACTGGCTGGTTGAGGGGTGCGGGGCTGGGGGTGGGGAGGAAGGAGGCTATTTATAGACACTCATTCATCTTTGCTCAGGCCCCTGGGCTTCCGGGGCTGGGACCCTGGTGTCCCAGGCAGCCAGGAATTCCCAAGGCCTTGGTGCTGAGCAAGAAGGGCATTTCCCCAACTGTCCCCTCCTAGAAGAGTCTGGGGGGCATGGAGCAGGGAGGGTCCCTGAAAGCCTTGATGTCAGGTAGAGAGGCTGGCTGGGAGTCAGACCTTGGGAACTGGGTGAAGGGAGTCCGGGCTCCACGCCATTCGCCATGGTGACTCAGACTCTGGGAGCCTCCGTGGTGGGGACAGATGGAGGACCCCAAAGGGGCTGGGCCCACCTGAGTATAGGTGTACCTCGGATCCCATCTCCAGGGACCACCTGTCTCTTCGTCCCACCTCCCCTGCCCCCTTCCCAAGGCACTCACGGTGCTGTGCTGAGTTGTCCCCTCCCGGCTAAAATGGCGCTCCACATACTGTGAGGAGAGGAGGTGACTGAAACAGACAGAAGGGGTGGGAGGAAGGAGGGGGGGTCACCGCTGGGGTTGGGTTCAAATTCGGGAGCACTGGGACGGCCTGCCCCATCCCCCCCCCGCCAGCCGCGTCTAGGCTGTGCTTTTCCCACCCGCCTGCTGCCCTTTCTCCCCGGCTCCCGGCCACACTCACTGGTTCAGCTCCAGGTCCAGAGTGAAATTGGAGTTGAAGGCTGGGATGACGAAACTCACCTGGGCCAGGTGGACAGGCTGGGGGTGGGGAGAGGGCAGAGGGGAGTCAACCTGAGGAACCCCAGAATAGGGAGTAACACTGGGGAGGGAGGGATGGCCCAGCCCAGCAGCTGACGGGACCATTGATTTGGGTGGGAGATGCTTTGTACAAGCTCATCTTCCTCCAAGACCCTGTGCCTTTCCTGGGAGCAGGGACAGGAGAACGCACCCCTGGGTACAGCCCAACCCACCCTCTGGGCCCGGGGCACTGTGAGCAGCACGGGGGGCAGGGGCCAGCCCATCCACCTGATGTAGGTGCCTCCTGGGGCCAGTCTACCCAAGCAGTGGGGATGGAAGGCAGCTCAGCCCGCCCACTGCTTCACACCACCCTCCCCCCGTTGGCAGTCCCCCCTCCTCACGTGGACTAAAGGGAAGTCCCCAGAAGTACCATGGGAAAGGGGCAAGCCGGAGATGGGGTGCAGTGTGATCCTTGGGCTCTGTAAAGCAGGCCCCTCCCTTCCTGTATCCCGGCCCCAGCCTCAATTTACGGAGGAGGCCTCGGACTCTGCAGACAGGGTGGTGTGGGTGAGAATTGGAAGCTGGGGTGATGGGAAGATGCCATCCTGTCAGGAGGGAAGAACTTGGCTCCTCTACCCCCAAGTCCTTTGCCCTCTGCCTTGCCCAAAGCAGCTCATCTTTAATATTTCAATCCCGTGGTTAATTTTTAAACACGGAAGTTTTCCTGATAAATTTTTCAGAGGGGCCTTTGCAGTGGGAGGCTCCAGGTTGTCATGGCAACATACCAGGCCTGAGCAAGATGGCTGCCCTTCCAGGTCTGGGCGCCCAGCTCCTGTGGGGAGTGAGGACTCCAGGCCTGAAGCTAGTATGCCTGGAGGAACAGTGACCTCAAGAGAAGAGGGGGCACGAGAGTCTGGACTCAGGGGATGAGTTGGCCTTCTGGGCTCTCATGTCCCCACACCAAGCATCAGGTCTCACAAAGACCTGGAAGCACAGCAAGGGCCCCAGAAGGACTGGAGAGCCTTCTTCACCCCCATATTCATTTAAGACTGAAATCCAGATCCCCAGGTGAGGGTCCCAGCACTGGGCCATGCAGATGTGAGGCTTTTCTCTGCTGCCTTTCTTTTGTGGGGAGCAGGCTGCAGGATAGAAGGGAGCCCCAAGGTCACAGAATCTCATTGCCTGGTCCTACCTGGCTTCCTCATCAATCACTTAGATTCCTCATTTTTATTGAGCATTTATTATGTGCCAGGCACTGTTCTAAATACTTTGCAAGTATTATCATATCTGATCTTCATAATAAGCCAGTGGGATGGATGCCACTGTTATCCTCATCTGACAGATGGGGAAACCAAAGCACAGAGAGGCTAACATGTTCAAAGTCACGCAGCTAAGAAGTCATGGAGCTGCAATTCAAGCCTACAGAAACAGTTTCCAAGGCCTCCTCACCCCAAAGATAAGATAAGGTAAGACAGAAATGGCCTAGCATCCATGAGAGGTCATGGGGGGAGGGGGGGTGAAGGCGCAGAGCCTAGGTAGACAGCCCTCTGAGCGCCAAGGACACTGACTTGCCCCATTCCAGGCCAACTGGAGCTCCAAGCTCCATCCCAAGCCCTTAGAGTGTCGATCAGAATTGAAACAGAAAGTCAAGGACAAGGAGTCACTGTTTTCCCTGCCTTGGCCTGGCCCAGCCCATCTCTGCTTCCTCCGTGCCCCTGGGCCTCTACCCTTCCCACCCACCCCCTCGGCCCTCCTTCTCCCCTCCTGGGCTTGGTCTATCTCTGCCTTTCCCACCTGTCCCTGCCTAGACTACTTCTGCCCTTCCCTGCCCTTAAGTCTGTACCTCCTTGTTCTTTCTGTCCCTGACAGAAAGCCCCTGTTGGCCACCCAGAGGTGCAGACTGTTCAGGCTCCTTGCCCTGAGTCCACTCTCTCGGGCTGTGCAGCTTCAGGGATGATCCAGCAGCCTCTCTGAGCCTCAGATCTCCCCAACGAAAATGGTAAGATGAGCCCAGATGCAAGCTGTGAGGTTGGCTTTGGGTGGTGGGGGTCGTCCTGGGCCTGGAGAATTCTGGCAGGGTCGGCCCTGGTGCTAGCAGGATCTCCCCCACACAGGAAGTCAGCAAGCTAACCATCTGGCCTCCCCCATCTCTGTGCAGACCAAGCTGACCCCCACTCTGGGGAAAGCCCAGACTGTTGGAAGAGCAGACACTAGGTCCCTTTTGTCCCCACCATTTCCTGCAGCCTCTTCTTTCCCCACCCGGTAAGGCCCAACCTGGGCTGGACTGCCCCTGCCCCAGCAGGGCACAGGGCACGGGGGCCAATGAGAGCCAGAGCAGCTCTTGGGGCTGGGGGCTGGGCCCAGGAAGGGCTGGGGGAGCCATCAAGGGTGGTAGAGGAAGAGGAGGGAAACCAGATAGCTGGGCAGGGGGTTCATGGGGACACTCCCTGTCTGCAGTTAGAGAAAGAACAGGCAAACCCACCTCGGTCCCCAGGACCTCTGTTCTCCAGTCACCTGGGGTGGGGGCTGCTGCTGGCACCAGAGTCCTAATACCCCCTCCCCCCAGCCAAGCTTTAGGCCCGAGTTCTATCAAAGCCAAACTGCTCCTTGCTTGGTCTGCCTCCTGCCCCTGACCTGCCCCCGACCTCGCCCATCATCCCTCAGTCCCTCCCTCAGGAGCCCCTTCTGTCCCCCTCCACCCACCCCACCTACCCGCCCTCCTCTGTGCCCAGCCCAGCGCTGCTGGTGACTGGCCGGCTGGGCCTCGACCCCGTGCCCTGCTCTTGCCTCCGGCTCTCACGTGGCCTGGCTCATTTGGTCTCAACTCGCCCGGGTCATCTGGTGCCCATTTTACAAATGGCAGGCCAAGGCTCAGGGAGAGACACTTGGAGGTGACTGGCCCAGGGCCATGCTGGGGAGGTGCGGGGTCAGATCTCACCCTGGGGCTGCAGTTCATGTCTGCCATGGCAGCTGGGGCCACCTGGTTTCAGTGCCTATGCCCTCCCTAAAGCTCCCTTGTCACCAGCCCGTTCACCCCCCTAGGCATTGTCTTATGCTCCGTGTCAGGCTCACCTAGATGTGGGGTGCAGAAAGAAGGAGGCAAAAATCCCACTGAAGTCCCAGAATCACAAATACAGATGCCAGGCCCCCACCCTAGACCTACAGAATCACTGGCTCGGGAAGGGGGAGACTGAGGATCTGGAGGATTCTCGGATGCTCCAGAAAATTCGAGTGTCCAAGCACTGCCCCTCAAACTGTCACCCCAAATATCTCCTCCCAAACTTCCATCTCCTCCCATGACTTTCTCCTCCCCACTATGTCTACAACGCCAGCACTGCCCAACCCACAGAGGGCTGTGGCCCCCACTACTCCTGGACCTTTAAGCACACAGTTCTGGACGTCTATTTCTCTGATCACTGATTCAACTTCTTGCACGGTGACTTTTAGTCCCCAGAAGCACAGGCTGTGCCTACCTTTTTCCCTGCCCAGTGGGCTCAACAGTCACGTTGAATGGAAAGGCATCAGAAGGCCTGAGCCTCAGTTTCTCCATTGGTAAAATGAGTTTGTCATGGAGATCAGATGGAAGCCCTTTTTAATATGTTATTATCACAAGGATTAGTAATAATTGAAAAATTATTGAAAAATGGAGTGTACATGTTCCAGCTAAACAGGGCTTTGAGGACTAGATGAACCACATGGGCTGGGTGGTGGCAGATGGCAAGGAGCCAGAGAGGCAGGGAGAAATCCCCTCCCCACAATAGTACCCCCCCCCCCCCACGATGTGCTGAGGCTCTATTGATCTACAGGACAGCGGGAATCCCAGACCGTGAGAACGGTTGAAAATTTTCTGATAATGGGATTTGACCTAAATTTTTGATGACAGTCACTTCCTTAGAGGGTCATTAGTCCCTCTGGGGACAGACTCTGGGCAACTGGGTCCCTGTAGGCAGCCAGGAGGGGTAATCAGGCAAGGCCAAGCCCACAGGCCAGTCTGGCCGGGGAGAACTCAAGACTCCTGCCACATTGTCCCCACCCTCCACCAGCACCACCTGGAGCCTGACAGGTAACCCCCAAATGCCCTGGCTTCTGTCTCAGACACCAGCCTTCAAGCTGGTGCCAGCTGCCCAGCACCCTGCCCCTGACACGCAGGAGCGAGGGCAGGCCTTACAGATGTTAAACACCTGCTCTCGCCAAATCCCAGGCAGGACATCTGACAAACATCAACTCCTCGAATCCTCCACGCAGCCTGGCAAAGGAGAGATGACTATCAGCCCCATCTTATGGATGAGGGGGGTGGGATTCAGAAGGCAGCAGTGGCTGACCCCGGTCACTCAGTCAAAAGCAGTGGGGCCAGGAGCCACCAAGGCTGTCCTCCCCAAAGCCTTTCAGACCCAAGCTTAACCTCCTGCGTGAATGATCTCTCTTCGCAGCCCTCACCCTTCCAGACCAAGCTGGGCTCAGCTCAAGTCCCAGAGGCAGCTTCCGGCCACCAGCCCCCTCCCAGGAACCGTCTCCTGCCTCCAATCCCAGGACAGAGCTGTGACCTTGGCTGCATGGCCATAACCCCAGTGGGGTACTAGGGCTCCAGGCACAGACCTGGTGGCTCCCTGCAATGACTGCCATCTAGCAAGGACAGGGGACTGAGCCTTGCTGAATTGACCCCCTCCAGCAAGAAAACACAAACACTGAAACACACACCCTCAGCAGAGGGCTTCCAGGGTAGCATTTCCAGTAAATGCTGGTCTGGACAGCTTTCACAGGAGCTCAGCCCAGTGACTAGGATCCCCCCTCCTCCAGCTGGCTCTGATAAGTCTATCTCCTAGGCCTGGAGGCTGGAACTTCTCCACCCCCATCCTGTTTGCTTCCCCCACATCCTGCCCTTTTCTTGGTTCTGAAGGAGTCTGGGTTTCCCCAGGGGGCAGGCATGACCCACACAGCAGCTCTGTGTGGTTTAGAAGAGTCCCTTCGGAACACATGTAGCCTCATGAGCCCACAGATTTCATTCAGTCTACTTGTTGGGGCACCCTTGTGCAGTGAACAACCAGCCCAACTGTACACGGTGGCCCTGCTTATTCTTTTGCCTCATCCTTCAGCTTCAGGCTCCCTGTGACCACAGGTTTCTGCACTTCCAGAAGCTCCCCCACCTCTCTGGGCCTCAGGCCCAGCTTTCTTCCAAACTGGACAGAAGTGAGGTGTTGAGATCAGTGGCAAAGAGGGCAAAGGGACCCCTGTGGCCCTCTTCACTATACCCCTGAGAGAGAGGCAGGCCGGCCCAAGTGTATCAATCTTGACTCTGCTACTTAAGTGCTGTGTGACTTGGGCTTGTTATTTCACTTCTCTGTGCCTGTCTCCCCCCACCTGTAAAATGGGAATAGCGACAGCCCCATCTCCTAGGGCTGTGATGAGCATTACATAAAATCAATATATCTAAAGGCATAACAGTGTCTGCCCCAGTAAGGGCCCAGCAATTGTAATATCTCTAGCTTCTAAAGTCCTTCCTGGCTACCTTCTCTCTCCCCCACAATTCCCCACAAAAACCAGGAGCCCTCAGCACACAAAACCCTTTCCTATCGCCACCTTCTGGAGGTGAGTGATGCTGAGATTGATGTTACCATAAATCATCCTGGTTTTAGGGCTCAGGGAGCTAGGCCTCAGACAGGTGATATGACCGGCCCGAGGCCAGAGCAGGTGAGCACACAAAGCCCCATCATCCTCACCCCGCTGGCCAGCGTGTGCCCCCAGACTCGCCACATGACCTGCAGCAAATAGAGATCTTGCTGCTGGCTCAACACCTTGCTCAGCCTGAGTTTACAAACCAACGCAATAATTTCGGACTCAGTCCAGCAGCGCCAGGGTGTGGCACTTCCTGCTGGGACATGGGCTCAGTGCTGCACGGGCTCCATCATCAGCCCCGTACATGCCGAGGCCAGAAGTGCTTCAGGGAGAAATGCCAGGTGGGAGGTAGAGGGCTGCAAAGTGTCCTTCCAGTCAGGGGGAAATATTTTGGACACGTGGGATTGCCCCTGTGCCGAACTTGAGAGTCCTTGTGGTGGGAAGTACCGGGTCTGGGAGAGAATCACTCCACTGCTTAAAGATCTGGTTGACTTCGAGGGGCGCCTGGGTGGCTCAGTCGGTTAAGTGTCCAACTCTTTTTTTTTTTTTTAACTTTTTAAATGTTTATTTATTTTTGAAGGAGAGAGACAGAGCATGAGCGGGGGAGGGGCAGAGAGAGAGGGAGACACAGAATCCGAAGCGGGCTCCAGGCTCTGGGCCGTCAGCACAGAGCCCGACGTGGGGCTCGAACCCACGAGCTGTGACATCATGACCTGAGCTGAAGTCGGACGCCCAACCGACTGAGCCACCCAGGCGCCCCAAGTGTCCAACTCTTAATTTTAGCTCAGGTCATGACCCCAGGGTCGTGGGATCAAGTCCTGCATCATGCTCTGTGCTGAACATGGAGCCTGCTTGGGATTCTTTCCCTCTCCATCTCTCTCTGCCCATTCTCCGCTTGCGCTACCTTGCTCTCTCCCTCTCTCTCTCTTTCAAAATAAATAAATAAACATAA